CTATATATATATGTAATATGTGTGTGGTGGCTACTTGGGAGACTGAGGCAGGAAAATCAATTTGAGCCTAGTAGTTTGGGGCTAGCTTGGGCAATGTAATCAGTCCCCATCTTAAAAACAAAACAAAGTATGTGTATTGCTCCTCAGTTTGCAACAGGGTTATGTATTAACACTGATGAACTTTCATAAGTCGCAACTATTGTTGACGTGAGTTCAATACACTTAACTTATGGACGTCCTTGCTGAGCTCCACGCTATGTGGTAGTGTTAGTTGCTTTCTTTGTGATGCAGCAGTGGACTAGACGTTGCTGCTCTCTGTTGCTGCCCAGCATGGCAAGACTGTCCTATGCATATTGTTAGCCTGAAAAAATAGGAAAATTCAAAGCATGGTATCTACTGGATGCATAGGACTTGCGCACTATGAATTGAGCCGCTGTCAGTCAGTGACCGTCTCTGCACACATAGCCAGGTACATACATGCAGATGGCCATGTGTTGCTTAGCGATGAGGATGCATACTAAGGTGTTCATTGCCATGTGGTTTGGAATTGTGTGGCCAGCATAGTGTGCTTATACAAACCTCTGTGGTCCAGCCTACTGTATACCTGGGGTATATGAAATATATATGAGAATGATACAGCTAGGAGGCAAGGTACACAGGACAAGAAGCACGAAGTATATAAAGTTGGCAGGCATAATATGACATAGACAGTGAACCTTTTATATACTCCAAAATAACAAAAGACTAGGTAGTACACACCTGTAATCCTAGCACTTGGGAGACTGAGGCAGGAGGATTGCTTTGAGTTTGAGGCCTACTCAGCTACAGAGTGTGTTCAAGACTAGCTTGAACTACATAGTGGCAACCTATCCCCCCCCCCGCCAAAAAAAAAAAAAGTACAATGTAATAGCCAGGTGTGGTACATACCTGTAATCCCAGCAGCTAGATTACAAATTTGAGCCCAGTCTGGGGAATTTAGTGATTTAGCAAGATCCTCCCTAGAAAAATTAGAAAAGGAAGCCAGACATGATGGCACACACCTGTAATCCCAGCACTTGGGAGGCAGAGTCAGGAGGATGGTTGTGAATTTGAGACCAGCCTGGGCTACAAAGTGGGCTGAAGGCCAGCCTGAACTGCATAGCAAGACCCTGTCTCAAAAAGATGAAAAAAGAAAGAAAAATTAGAAAAGGGGCTAGGACGTAGCTCAGTGTGAAGGCCTTGGGTTCAGTGCCAGAACTCCCAGGGTTGGGTGGCAGGGAGTATACATATATTATTCCTCTTCCCTCCCTCCTTTTCTTTTCTCTTCCTCCTCCTCCTCTTCTTCCTCTTCCCCTTCCTCTCTCTCTCTCTTTTATTTTAATAATAATGGTGCCAGGGATTGACTAGGAACTTTTCTTTGCTAGGGATGTGGTCCACTGAGATACTGTCCTTCCACATCTGTCCTTGTTTGTTTCTTTTTTCTTTTTCTTTCTTTCTTTCTTTTTTTTTTTTTTTGGTACCAGGGATTGAACTCAGGACCTTGCATTTGCCAGGCAGGTACTTATGCCAGTGAGCTATCTCCCTTTTTTTTCGGACCCGGGGATTGAACTCAGGCCTTTGAGCTTGCCAGGCAAGCGGTTATTCTACTGAGCTATCTCCCCAGCCCCTCCCCTTTCTTATTTCTTGTAAAAAATATGTATATTGGGCCGGGGTTGTAGCTGAGTGGTACAGTGCCTGCCTAGCAAGCACGAGGCCCAGAGTTCAATTCCTGTTACCAAAAAAGAAAATAAGAGGACCAAAACAGACAGAATGCCTAAATCACCGAATGGGAAGAGTTGAGAATTTTCCGTATTTCATTTATATGTTCATTTTTATATTTTCTTAGCCTCTCCCCAACAGATACTTAAGTGATGCTGTGATCTGAGACCTTAGGCAGAATCATAATGCTACTGTAGCTTCAGCCTGGAATTTCCTTGTGCAAGGGGTCTCAGAATACATGATAGGGAAGCCTTTCCTTGGATGGGCACCCTCTACTTGACCTTTATATGTTTTTTTTTTGAGGGTCATGTTTTGCTTTATAGTTGAATACTACTCTAGTGCATGTTGCCCTTCACTAGGCTTCTGTAATCTTCATTGAAGTTAACTAAGCCTACATACCAGATATGATGGAAGGTAAAGGATTCTTCTTTGTTCGTACTCCATTAAGGTAGGTTGGAGAGTTAATATTTAGTATGTTAGGGCAAACAACATTTTTGTTCTTTGAGTCATTACAGATGTTTATCATATTTTGCCTCAGGGAATATAGTGGGATGGAAAGTGAAAGTTGGAATTAAGTAACAAGATAATAATGTATTTTCCTTTCTTACCCAGTTTCCTTCTGTACTGAATAGTCACGGGCCGTTCACCCTGTCTGGCCTGGACGGACCTTCCACTCCTGGCCCGTTTTCCCCGGACCTGCAGAAGATATAGTGTATGCACTTGTGGTGTAAAAGACTCAAGGAACACAGAAATGGAGACATTCAACCTGATGGCATTGAAATGAGAAGTTGTCTTTATCATTTTTGCCATTTCCCACTGAAACACCTTTTTCAGGCTTCTCTTTGAATAGATTTCAAGTTAGACTGTGTGAAATGCCTTAATTGGAGTCCACCTCCATATCCTTATCTTTTTTTATGTTGAGCTAAGTGCTAATGTTATTTTGGAGGGGTGTAGCTGCTGTGCTTTGCAAGAGTGATTAAGGATGAAGTTACTCCTCCTGCCTATCAGGATTTTTTGGCTAGTAAGAAAATTGTGCTTAGTTTATTATTCTAAGAAAAACTAGTTAAATGAAATTGGTTGTGTCTTTAGGACTGAGTGTGCTCTGCTGAACAAGCGAACATGAGCTGTTTATCAGTAGTGGGAGAAAAATAATCCTTTCCTAGTCATACAAAATAAGATTGGAACAGTACCATTGTGCAGACTTTGTTTTGCTATGAATTGTAGCGTGTGGCTATGGAAGCAGTTGTACAGGAGGCATCTTGTTCACTTGTATGCAGTGGATCTCCTAGCCACATACATGGTCTCATCTTACCTGTTGAGCACAAGGGTTATTCTGTATAACATAAGATTTTTAAGCTTGGGATTTAAGAGGGTTTTAAGACCATCGTGTGAGGTTATAGGACCTCCTGTCTAGTATAGAAATGCTGCTGGCTGGTATGTTTGCATATCCACAGAGCATAGTGTGGTCAATGATGACTTTTATCAGGATGGACAAGTTCAACTGAATACCTTAAGATAATACGAAGGGCCTGTCCAAGTATTAGAAGATGCTGGGGGGAGGGACTGTGTCTTGTCCCTGATCATTTTACCCCATTTTCTTCTGTAGATTTGTCACCTTTCCTTCTAAACCTAAAGCTTTGAGGTGTTGTGACAATATTAAATGCCATTGAGAAAGTGAAACCTTCAGTCAATAATGAAACAGATGTGCTTGTTCAGCTTCTTTCTTTCTTGCTTTCTTTCTTTGTTTTTTATTGTATTTGGTACAGGGTCTCACTACACAGATTGGACTCATAGTGATCCTCTTGTTTTTAGCCTCCCCTGTGCTGGGATTATGGGTGTGCCACACCTGGACTCAGACACCGGCTCATTGTGCCCAGGGGCAGGGCCAGTGCGGCATGTGGTACCGGGGATCAAACCCTGGTCTCTGCGCTTGCCTAAGCAGGTGCTTTGTCCGCTAAGCTATCCTATTGGCCCCAATCTTTTCTTTTTATTAGTTAAGGTGGATTAGTTCATTTGGCAATATTCGTACAAAGGAATTAAATTGTTTTAATTAACATTGGAAAATGCAGGCCTTTATCTCTGTATTACCAAATTTATAAATTTGTTTTTGTTTGTTGTTTTGAGACAAGGTCTCACTATGCAGTTCGGGCTGGCCTTGAACTCTTATAGCCCAGGCTGGCCTCAAACTTATGGCGATCTCCTGCCTCGGTCTCCTGAATGCTAGGATTGTAGGCATGCACCACCATGCCTGGCTGTTTTTGTACTGGGAATCAAACTCAGGACCTTGTGCTTGTCAGACAGGCACTATACCACTGAGCTATATCCCCGGCCCCTGGCTCTAATTTATAAAATGTTATCCTATAGTAGTCAGTGCCAGGTGCAGATAGATCTTTTGGTCCCCCAAACTGAATTGGTGCCAGTAGCACGTTGGACTCTTGAAAACTTTGGCTCTTAAGTCCTGGTCTAAATTATATGCTGCCACTACCACCATGCCACTCAGCTAGCTTTTGTTTAAGTTATGTAGACGTTTATTTAGCTCACAGTTTTGGAGGCAGAAAGTCAGTCTTGTTAATCTCTCTGATTCTTCTGATCACTGGGTAGGTGTGTTGAACTCCTCCTCTAACACTGACTGAGCCACATGAGCTGAGTGGAATGAGGGGGCAAGGATTCGAGGGCTTGAAATTACATTGATACTAATCAGTATCTTCTAGATAACAATATTTGCTTTAAATTTACTTACAGACAGTGTAGAAAAGCTCTTAGCTAAGGCATTTAAGCTAAATCATTTGAGGCGGAGGGGGAATATTCAGTGAGCTGCCTTTTGAAGTATGATATTGGAGACCTGTTACTGGTTCATTTGTGGTTATTGGCTGCAAGTTCTGTTCCGAAGATGTGCAATAGTAGTGTTGAGAGGTAGTGTTCAGCAGTGATGGGAGCAGACATAGTGAACTATTTTTCCCCTGTTGAATTAGTTTGCATGCCTGTTTGAAATTAGGCCCCTTAGCAACAGCACTTTGTAATAGTTTTATTAGGTTAACATTTTATATAGTAAATAAATATTTGATGGCTGACTTAACCAGATGTTTTAAATTCTGAAAAGCACAAAGGTATTTTTATCTTTTTGAATTAAAGGAGGAAAGCCATTGATTTGTTTTCACTGATGATATATTTGATGGTTTACTTTTCCAGTACAGAAGTGCTTCAAAGCCAAGGGCACTGTTAAAAATCAGAGCAACTTCCTAGGAAGCGGTTTTAGAGTCCTTTTTCTGTAAGCCTGGAGCCAAAGCCTCTGAGAGGTGTGAGGCCTTAGGAGGTAGATGATCAGCTTTCTCTTTGAGATCAGCTAGAGAGAGAGAGAGAGAGAGAGAGAGAGAGAGAGAGAGAGTTTTTTTTTAAGTCAAAGTTCTATTTGTAGACTACCT